ATACTTTAGGGCTAAAAACACAGGTTCCCCTATTCTAATACATTCTGCAAGTTTACTGTAAGGTAGTTTTTACAGTGTAGTATTGTCTTCATGCCACATTTGTTTTCTTAGGCACAGACTTTAAAGTATAGATATGATTTACAGGCTAGGATTGTATTTGCAAACTCCAATGAAGTAAAAATGGCACACTCTCATATGAATGATGCTGCAGGAAAAATATCTAAACAGAAGTTCTCACATAACTTTCATTAAGTAGCCTCTACCTGCATTATAGCAGGTGGGGGGTGAAATCCCAAGCAGCATTAGCTAAAACACCTTAGGCTGACCTTATAGTCTCTTGACAATTTTACACCATATACAAACAATCAAACTCTTCACATTCTACTTTTAAAAAATTTTGTTGTTATGAAATCAAGAGCATGTCTTTCTGGGTATGTCTAAACATGCTTTCTTTTCTATAGTTGTGCATAGTTCACATCATTTCAGGTAAAAGAGGACAGGGACTTCCTAAACAGCACTTTTAATGTTATGTGAAAATCAGATATGATGTATGAGCTTTCAAATTTCTCTTAAACATGCTCTTGACCTTTCATAGGCCAACATTCCTGAGTTATTGCAATGGATACAATTCATTGATTTTTCTTATAGTGATTTAAGAACAAAAATAATGTCACAGACAAATGCAACAATTCAACACTCTCTAACTAAATTTTCCAGATAATAAAGCACAAAGCAGAAGTGGCAGAAATGAAAATCTTCCAGTTGACCACTTCCCCCTTGGACAATTTCCAAACCAAATACTCAAGTCAGCATTCGGTTGCTTGAACCTTTTCACAAATATCCACTGCAATCCTCTTAGTGATGCTAAATCTCTTGTAAAGATATGACAAGACATCCAGTAATGAGTAATCCCTAAAACTGATGTATAATGTTCCACTAAAGAAGCTAAAACATTTACGGTTCTCACAAGCCACACCTTAGTGTCCTTTTTATTTATTTTAATCCAGATAAAGTTAGCCATAACGAGGCTGATTTGTGTGAAGTCATGACAGGAGTCTCCTTCATTGTGGAAACAAAACCAATATGAAACCTTGGTCCAATCAACTTCAATACCGAAACTAAATTTTCACTGCCAGCCTTTGACTCCAGTCTTGTGAGTCATTGAAATAAACTGAGCAATTGTTCTCAAATACTAACAGGCAGGTATAGTGAGCATGGATTGTTTTAATTTCAGATGGAAGACATATATTTGGATGCTTTTAGGAATAAATGATAAGTGAAAAATATAGCACAGTACATTGAATTGCTGCAACTTAAAAACCAGAGGACTTTACAGAGGAATATTCCATCTTTACAAAGTGTCCATGGTCTGCTAGCCTAATTCTGACCTCAAACCATTGGACTAGAGACACTCAGTTTAACACATTGAAATCTGCTGATCCTCAAACCACTGAGTGGATTTGTTGGTGGTTACATCTCATTACTTCTGGTTTTCAGCTACCTACAGAGAGAGGTAGATACCTGACACCTTCCAAGGGCGCTTTTCCATGTGAGCAGCAGCTGCCCTGATTGTCACGTGCCGTCCTAGTCCGGGATGGAGGGAAGGCAAGGTCGGCCCATGGAGCCACACGTATAAGGCATCCAGTGGAAAGTCTGGACGTCCCTTTTGAGGATGTGAGATGTGGAGCAGGTACTTGTCTCTTCAGGTGTCATTCCTGACATCCCACTCTCAGACTGGGATCCGGCCTGCTGTGTTAGCACAGGTGGCAGGTAACCTGAAGAGCTTCAGGAGCAGCAGCTGTCACTCCGTTGCCTGCTGGGATGCCCATGTGAGGCTGACAGGGCCGAAGAGGTAAATGTGACCATAGCTTTCCTGTCAGTCATTTCCCAGTGCCCTGCTGGCCCCCAGCCCCATCCTGGCTGGGTCTGTCCCCTCCGTCAGCCCCAAGTGAGGGGCTGAGGGTGGCTGCTGGCATCTCCTCTGTGTCAGCCACATCAAGCCCCGTGACAATCTCTAAGGGATGAGCCTAATCCTCTGTTTCCCACTACAATCATTTTAATGCAAGTAAGAACATAGAATTTTATTACCATTTCAAATTTCAGGTTTTTAGTCTTGACCTGAAGCTATGGAAAGTGTGGGTTTTGGTGCCTGGCCAGGTTGCATCAGTAAGCCTGGTCTCCCGGTCACTCCCATGGCTGTATGTTTAGTGAAGCCTGGTCCCTAAGCCTATCTCCGTCCATCCTAGGGAGACCTATATTACACAGCTCCGAGTGCGTGATAGGCAGGAACAGTGCTAGGAAGGGCTTTACACTGAATAAGCTCTGCATGACAAATGTGCAATCAATGCCTGCAACGTCAGCCGCTCGTGGCCGTGGTGCAAACTGTGGACAATAGGTGGGTGTGCAAGCCTGCCTTTGAGGGAGGACTTTAACCACAGGTAAATGTGCTTTGCTTTAGTATTATCAGTGACATCTGGTGGTAATATACAGTAAATTCAGTTTAAATCTTTCTAAAAGTTGTGTAGGAGTTTAAATGGCTAATCCCGATTAAAGTATTTTACAAAGTTGTATTTCCCCAAGTATATTTCTATCTGAAAAAAAACTGTATAATGACTGTGCTCCATACCAGGAGCAAGGACTAACCAGGGGACTGCCTGTACGCAACATGGTATTTGGTGGTGGTGCTGGTGGTAAACACTGGAACCAAGGAAGCCACCAAAGCCTTTTGTGTGTCTGAATAGCAGTTGATGAACACCTGTTCTTTATTACTGTCAGCTACCTATAGCCTCTGTAAGTTTTCCAAATCTCATAGCCCTTCCAAATCAGTGAACGTGGCAACAATTCGACTCCCCATTTGAAATACATAATTTGGGTAATAATGAGGACAAGTTAAAAAGGCCACCAGTGAAGACAGAGAGGCTTAATACAGAGAACAGTACATTACAGAGGTGCTGCAAAAAGCTCCATTGGCTTTTGCACAAAAACAAGGAATTGTCATCAACAGGAACGAGTTTAGTGGTGGGCCACCAAGATGGTTGGTGCTAGAGCACTTATCCTGTGCGGAGAGGCTGAGGGACCGGGGCTTGTTCAGCCTGGGGCAGAGATGGCTTCAGTGGAGCCTGACAGTAGACCCCAGGACCTGTGAGGGGATGGAGAGCAGGATGACAGAGCTGGGCTCTTCCCAGCAGTCCATAGTGGGAGGACAAGAGAAAATGGGCAGGAGTTGAAACAAGAGAGGTTCAGCCTGGGGTTAAGGCATCCTTTTCTCCTCCTGAGGTCAATCAGGTGGTGATCAGGTACCCCAGAGAAGCTGTGCAGTCTCTGTCCTTGGAGGTTTTCAGGACCTGACAGGATAAAGTCCTGAGCTAAGTGACGAGTGGGCTGGAGTGAGACACCAGACACCCTACCACAGCCACTGTGGAGGCTGCCAGGGAGAAGCAGAGCACTCATCTGGACCCGATTTCTGTGTCCTCAACCCCTTGTCAGGCTGGACACTGTTTCTACAGAGGACAGTGTTTCTCAACATTGTAGTTCTTAGCTGAAAGGAGCAGAACCAGTGCACATGGAGAAGCACCTTCCTTAATTTTGCACTTAACCTCAGAGCATACACTGGACAGAGTTTTGTTTTAATAGCTTCTATGAGGAGAAGTTCCTTTCTGGTTTTGCCCCAGTTTTGCATCAGAAACTTGTCTCATATGGGAGACATGTTTTGACGGTGCTTGAGGACTTGCACCTCTCCTTTTCCTACTTGTATGGCCACATGTCATCCTCTTTCTTCTTGGGTGAAGAACAGAGAGGGTTATCTGTCCCGAAAAGCACTTTCTGACTCTCTATGTTCACCTCTCTTGCTGCTCTGCTGAATGCAGCTCTAGAAAGCAAAAGCTGCAAGATTTCATTGTGATTTTTAAACCTGACATTTCAGTAAGGCAAACATTATCCAAGAAATGAACAGTAAAATTACTTTTGTGAAGCCAAAACCAAACCTCAAAACCCAACTTAAAACATACACCAGGCATTTGTGCATTCTCTGATGCCGTGTTCTCTGTAACATCTTCTTGAAAATGGTTCCTGAAAGGACATTTCACACCACAGACTTCTGAAGCCAACATCTAGACCTGTAAGTTCCAGCTCACCTTGAAGAATAAACAGCTCTTGGAGGAGTTAGCTTTGATAAGGCAAATGCAAAAAAGGACGCTGATAACATATCAGCTGTGATGAAAGCACGTCTTTCTCTTCATAGCCTGTCCCTCCTGAGAAGCCCTGGCAAAACAGAGACCTCTGGATCTGTTTGGTTTGGAGAATGATGGTCTGCTTCGAGCCCTGCCTGAACGATCCTTGAGGTATCAGCACCTCTGTAACAGAATGTGCCCAAGGCAGATGTTTAACATTGGGACTGAATTTTCTTTTGCAAGTGTTGTCATTTTGAACTTCTGGAAAGAGTACACACGGATGGATGTATTCCCATACCACATTAAAGAATATGGCCAAGCAGCCCCAGTCTGTGTCAATCCCCAGTTCGTTCTCACACATGGGAGCTCTCTGTGCGCTCTGGTAACTCCTCAGCCGAGGCGCAGACAGGCAAGGCAGCGTCCTCCCAAATATTGCTGAACAGTTGCCTGTGAGGAACTTCACCGACACCATCACCTGCACACAGATGCTGCAGATGAATTGATCTGCCCCGATACAGACAAAACGCCATCAGCCGCAGCTTCAGCCTCCTTGCCCAGAGAGCCCATGGGTGGCAATTCCCACCGCGGGCCCCTTGCTCTCTGTCTGCAAAGTATTCAGGAGCTGCGACACGACACAGGGGCTGCAGGGCAACCGCTGCTTTTGCTCAGAGGAGGCGAGACGAGGGGCAGCCTTGCCCGTCATGTTGCAGGCACGGAGATGAGAGGCACCCCCGATGTGCAGGGGTGCTCTTTCATTCAGCTTTTGCAAAGGCAGTGGGATCCCTACGGACGGCTCTGAGCTGCCCTGAGGCGGGTGGCTCCTTGGTGAGTTCAACACACCTTGTCATTGATCTCCTTCTGCACTTCCAGCGGGAGCGCGTTGTCCGTCTCTGGGCTCAGCATATTCGGGCCAACGCAGATGGCCAGGTTGCTGGAGTCCATCCTGCTGATCTCGGCGTTTTGGCTGATGTGGTGGAGCAGAGACAGCAAGTGCTTGAGCAAGACGAGGTTTGGTCTAGGCAGTTGGGCAGCCACCCTGCATGAACACAAACAAAATGTGACGTTAGTTGATGGTGCAGCGGCCGCTACTTCTTTATTTGAGCAAGCCTCAATCAAACTCAGAGAGCTGACGCTGCCTCCGGGCAGAGGCAGGCACGTGCTGTTTCTCGCTGCTTAGCAGCAGTGTCATTCAGAAATCCCCAACGGCAGCTGAGCGTGTGGTTAATTGTAAGATCTTGAACGACAGTGTCTTGACTGAAAGGCAAGCATGACAGCAATCCGTGTCCTTGAGCAGGTGACCCGCCCCGCAGCCCAGTGACTGCGTTAGCTGAGATGCTGCAGCCTCTCCCCTCTTGCTAGGCCAGTCATTTCGCAGGGCAACATCAGATACCTGCAGGAACTGCTGCTGCTGGAGCCCTCTAACCCAAACCCCTCGGAGCAGTAGCCAGCTGATGTAAATGCCAGGCTTCTAACTGAGACTCTCAGTTTTGGGAAGCATCATTGGCCTCCTCCAGCCCCTCCATCGCACTGGGGCTGGTTGCAAATCTTCCCAGTTGCAAAACTCACTCTTTCAATTCTTGAAGTTTTTCCTGCTTGTTGGACTTCTCCAGAGCCTGCATCCACTTGTCATAGAGGTCGGCTGACAGGAATTTGGAGGGAATATTTTGGAGGAAGTCCTGCAAGGGCAAGAGATTTAGATGGGGCTTTGGACTCTGCCCCTGAGCACAGAGGGAGCATCACCGTGACTCAGGCTGAGGAGACACAGAAATGAAGGTGGGTGGTTGAGTGTGGGTCTGGGCCTCTGGAGGGGCTGCTGCTGCCCAGGACAAGGGGGCTGGCATGCACATAGGTCTGCACAGCCGGGGCTTGGGCACTGCATGGTGCCTGGCTGCTGCAGAAAGCATCAAGTCTCTTTTTTCGAGCATTGAGGAAAAAGGTAGTCCTGGATGTGTTAGCTGGAAGGAAACAGTTTTGACTTTGTACTTGATAAGAAGCTTTCCCTCTCCCCACAGGGCTTCTCCTGATGCCTTCCTCTCCAGTTTGGCTCTGCACCCATGGCGGCACGGGGGAGACCCCAGGGGTTTCCAGCTCCTGGTTCCTGCTCAGAGCCACAGCAGCATCCCTCGAGTGTGTGTGGATGTGCAAGGGGAGAGGAGAGGTGACACAGAGAGCTGAGGCTACAGGCACTGGAGGGCAGGACAGCCCACAGCAATGCAGTCGTGGGGACATGTAGGAAGACACTGATGTCACCTATTGCACGTTGCACACCCTGCACTAGTGACAGCCCTCTGGACTTCGCTCTGCTGATGAACCCCAAAGGTGTTGACCTTTTGCAAAGTCTGGTCATAGGTAGAACACGAGGAGCCAACACTTAGGCTCACCCTACACAGTCCACAGAATGGCTTGGGTTGGAAAGGTCCATTAAAGATCATCTGGTCCAACACCCCTGACATGGCCACAAGTTCCGTAAGGGGTCCACATGAAGATCCTGGGTTTCAGGGTTTTCTAACTGAGTATTTCCATGCCATGTCTCAGCCCTGGGCTGAACTCTTTCAAAAAGTTCAGCAGAGCTGTTTCAGCCTGCTCTTTCAATGAGATTGGAGGAAAAATAGATTTCCCTGCCTATATTCAACCATCATTTCAGATGTCCCAGTAAGTAACCCTTGTCACCTCCTTGCTAGAATTTGGTCTTTTAGCTTTGCACCACCATCATGAGGTGCCTCAGCTTGGAGGTGGGAGAAATTGTGCAGCACAGCTCCAGCGCACTGTGAGAGTGGAGCAGAGATGCTTTATCCCACAGAGAGGCAAGATGCTGGACTTCTGCTTTGTGCTTTCTGGTTCTCATGGAAATCTTCCTGCAATTTTCAGGAGGAAAAAGGATGTATCCCACATGGGCTACAAAAAACCTGGGGAAATTTTCAGAAGAGCTTAAGCTCTGGGCTGCTTTGAAAACCTGTCCAGGAACATTGTTCCATGTGGAGATCCAGTCCCACAGCTCACTGGAAATGACAGGACACCCCCTTCTTGCTACTGCTTCATATCTGAAATTGAATACGCAGACGCAACCCCACATTTTGTGTAGGGTAGGCTGTATAAAACCAAGTGAAACACTCAACAGCCACCTGAAAATGCATGCTGTGCCTCAAAAATCACAGATTATTGTGGGCACGTTACCAAACCCCGTGCAGGGAGCCACCTTGTTCTGTTTGCACACTGCATTAAACTCATTTAGTCTGCAGTCCCGGAGCTGCTGGTGGTGATTCATCTCCTCCAGCACCTCTGGCCACTTTCCCAAGAGCGGAGCTCCCGGCACAGAGCCCAACATCACTCCTACCCCGGTCCCTGCTCAGTAGCTGCCTGTGTAAAGCACTAACATTTTTCTCCTCATGGAGACCTGGAGAGAGTGCTCAGCAAACATTCAGCTATACATTATGTTATGTACGTGTAGCAATGTTTCCAGAAGGAATGCCTTCCTGCTGTCTTGCTGCTCAGGAT